ACCCATCTCGAAAGGGTTAATCCCACTATTCAGAAGAGAGTGTAAACTGAAACTTCAATAAAATTATAAAAAGTTTCTGAACTCGAGATGTTGTTACTTGTGGGTGAGTTTTTATTACAGTATTTATTGTATTACTTAAAAACCAATACAAGTTCACTCTGATTAAAAACATTTGCTTTTAACTATGGAGAGCTTGCGAGGAAAGCAGGAAATTTAACATGATTGTGAAATTGTAAATGTATGTTTTGTGACATGTTTCAGAGCTCCACAGTTCCGAGGTTTTCAGCAGCACGATAGCCACGAACTGCTTCGTCACCTCTTAGATGGAGTTAGAACAGAAGAAGTCAGGGTAAGTTACAAAGTGGATTAGCTCAGTGAAAGAAACTAGCTGTGTAGGTATAGGCTGTTTAATTCATTTAAAAATAAGAACAATTTCTATTTGTATAAATCCATTTGTATCCTCCTTATAAGCAGTATAAAGTCACATTATGGGAAACATGGTTTTCCCTGATTTTTTTCAGTGTCTAGAAAGAGTACTTTCTTGTGTATTAAGCTTAGAGACAGTTGTTGTTCATTTACTGTTGAAATTTGACTTTTTTTTATAAACATAAAGATATATTGCAAAACATATAATTACAGACTACTTAATTGACACTACATTTTTTTTGTAATATTGACTGTGTCATGACATAAAAGACTATTTAGTGTAGATATTATTAATTTACTTATCTTGTGAGTTAATATTTCATGACTGTTTAGTGTTTTTTTTATAAGAAGAGAGTTAAAAGCAGATGATTGTTGGAAGTTGTGTTTATAATTCATTGATGTTGAGACTGTCGAATATTGCATGCAATATATTGACGTCAAGAATATAGAGATTTCTAGACGGCAGATAGATGATTAAGTGATAAACATATAAATAGTGTGAGATAAGCAGAAACAGAACACAGACAGAGCGGACGAGAAAGTAAAGTTGCAGGAAGTAGAAATTCTGCTGAGAAAAGTTAAATGTAAAGTTAACTGCTGTAGGACTGAAAGGATTTCAATGGATGTAAACAAAAGGCGGATGTAAATATACTTTAGTAGACATTTTGTACAACAACATATTAAAAGCTTATCAGTTTTTTAATGATATAACGATAGATTGTAGAATAACATTGTAATTTTATTTATAGATAGTATTAAGTATGGTAAAGTTTATCCAGAACTAAACTAAAGTAACAACCGTATGCAAGTTACAGTGTTAATTTATCTCTTTATCGAATATATATGCTGTACTTAATGAAGGCTTAACTAATGTTAGGCCTAAAACAAGTGAACTTATAATTGCAATAAACATACTGATTTCACTGCAAATCGTTTGCTGGTCTCTTCTAATATACCCATCATATGCATAAAATCCAAGTATAAAGACAAATTACCATATTAAGGATATTTCAAAACTTTCCGTATGATTTTTGCAACTCAAATTCTTATTTTTTTTTGGTAAATTTGATAAAGCTAAATTTTTGATAACTAAGTCAGTGATTCTTTTGTAGGATCCTGATCTTTCAGACAGTTTTGTTTCTTAATTTTAGAGGCAGAAGGATGGTATTTTAAGATACTTTGGACTTAGTAAAAAAATTAATCCAAAAGAAGTTGATGAAGAGATGAAGAAAAAAATCAAAGGTTTGTAGTAAATTTTTCATAAACTTTCTAATGCTGCCCGTTTGTCAGAACAGTGTATAATTATTGTCAAATGTAAAGAAACAAAATAATTTTTCAAGAAAATGGCATAACTTAGGTTTGTGTTGTATATGCTGAGTTGCATTTTTTCAAGTACAAGTAAGATCGGAATCTCTGTCACAGGATATTTATATTTTTCGGTGTGTCCAGTCAGGTTTGTAAACAAAAACATACTTCCAAGCAGTCAACATTTTGATGTTTCTAAACAAGAATTGTGTAATGAAAATACAATAGTGTGTCTGTGTATTAAATCTAAAACCATAATTATATACTTTTTTTTTAATTACACAATTTTCTGAAAGTAAAAAAAAAAAAGTATTATCTGGAAAGTCATGATGCAGACCTAAAGTTCTACCCATCTCAATGTCTGCAGATTTGAATATCAGAGACTTATTATTAGTGCAGTAATCCTTAGATGTGCTGAATGCTCGTAGCTATGCATTATCTTTGAATGTTGATTAAATTTCCCGGTTCAGCTAAATAGTAGGTATTAATCTTTGAATGACGATTTAATTTCACGGTTCCGCTAAATAGTAGGTATTAATCTTTGAATGACGATTTAATTTCGTGTTTCAGCCAAGTAGTAAGTAATGTAATAATGCTTGCCTTTGGCAGGTTGTTTTTTACGGGGTGGAGTTGCTAGCCCCGCACCCAACCCTCCTCCTTTCTCATCCTGGACTTGGGGTCAGGCAAAGGCAGAGGTTGGCATGTTTGGTGTGACGGGGAATCGAACCCGCAACCCTCAGATTACGAGTCGAGCGCCCTAACCACCTGCCTATGCCGGGCCTGCTTACTGTTGTTAGGAGATAAATATTATTTACAGAGCTTGTCGTGTGCCAAATTATGTTGAAAATGATTTATTTTTATTAGATACATTCACACTTGCATTCTGCTTTGTCAAGCTAAACTTTGGTATAGCATGATTAACTCCTTTCTAATGCTAAGCCTTTTCTGTACATATCATAACATTTTACTTAGTTACATTTAAAATTTAATTAACCCTATCGCCACGGATATCCTTTACTGCACATGACACAAAGTTTTAGTATCTTACACTCAAAATTTTAGTTTATGATATACCAATTAGAATAGCATAAAATCTTAGCTAATAATCCATATTTTAATAGTATACAAGTTTTAAGTTATTAATTCTACAAGGCAATATAAAAAATCCTGAATTTCCACTAGTGTGACGCACGAGAAATATTTTGTCTTAGCATGTCATCATCCCTTGAAAATGTACAAACTTAAACATAAATCACTCTATAGAATCGTTATTACTCAGACAAACCATAATTTTTATAGTCTTCAATTTTATTTGGTTACAGAGCAGTCGATTAGAAAAATCAGACCCTCCTGCCACACCCACCTGTCACATCCTCTTTCATAATTCATTGATGGTTCACTCTTATGTTTCATTATATATTACCTATAACTAATAGAAAGTCAAGGTTTTCATCTATCAAAGAACATATTGTATAACATTGTATTCTGAAGAGAATATTGTCAATTTCACTCAGAGTACAAGATTCGTTCCCATGAGAAAGTTAACGACTAGCTTGGATGAATTTATAACAGCTCTTGTTGCATAGTTAGAAAGCCAGGAAATTTTTGAGACGTAAGTGAATTTCTCTACTTTTTACATGTTATTAATCTATATTCTTTGGTGTATTATTTAATTAAATAAATATTATTAAGTGCCTTACTATCTATAGTATAAAAAATTAGAGTTAACTCTCTTTGAAACCCGACAGCAAGAAAAAGATAAGGTAAGTATTTTATTTCTTGTTTTTCTTATTTATTCTTTATTTATTATTGTAAAAGTAACTAAAATCTAAAAATACAGATCTTTTTTAAGTTATTTAAGACTAGATGAGGTAAAATATGTAGTAATAATAATAATATAATACAAATGGTTCACGAGGCACGCATGCGAGCAGCTCTTGGGTAATGTAATTTGATAGCGTAACGTGAGCTGCACGTTCCTCGAGTGATTTACAATTTATAATGGCGTGGATAGTAGTTAGACACAGTTCAAAGGGCAATAAAATTTAATTATAAATAGATGTATAACGTTACACACTTAGAGCTACTTAGGATAAACAAATGTAGTTTCATGTTACAATTTGAAGTCATTCTAGAAAAAAAAAGATTAAGTTAGGTTTTATTTAAATTTTTTTTTTTTTTAGTGGTACGAGGTCGGTAGAATTGACCAATCCCATTTTGAGATAGGGTAGAGAAAGTAACAGATTAACTATAAGGTTTTAGGGATTACACAAAGGAAATTTGAGATGAGGAAAAGTATTTTTAATTTTAACATAAAAATTACTTTGCACACGGACTATTCAAAACAAATACTCAATATATATTTGTGGACCAATCTTTATTTTATGAAAAATAATTCACTAAGAAATATGAGTTTTTGTATATTAAAGACTGCCAAAATTTGTGAAGATATACCCACTATATTAAGAGCTATAGGTATTAAATCTATAAAGAATTTAAATGAGTTCAAAAAGGTCACGTGGTCGGTCAAATTGACCGAGCCCATATTGAAAGTGTTAAGCTATTTTATGATCAACATTTGTCAGTGAAATCAGCCTTAAATTTTACATTATAGTTCTTAGCATTGTTGCTGCTTTATCCTTGCTATTTTTTAATTATTTCTCACCTAGTAATACATTAATTGTTGCATTGTATTTAGGTTTTAATTTTATATGTTACTTAATTATGTATTATTTATGTTTTAAGATTCACATTTGAAAGGTTTAATAATAATTTTTTATATAATTCAACACCTGCTCGGTTCATAAGGGATAGCATAATACCCGAACACCACATTTTACCAAGTCTAAAGTTTCTCTGCCCACTATACAGTAATGTTGACTGGGTATGCCCAATGAAGCGTTGCGATGAATAACAATGCTAAAGGAGTGGAGAGGATAATTAATTACATGTGAAAATGTAAAGACATGCAAAAAAAGATGTTTTAAGATTATTTCACGAATTATTTAAAGGCATGTACATTTTTCCTAGGTCTTAATTTTAAACAATTCATTGTAATATACTCTAGACTATATAGTATAAGTTGATGGTAATAGCTACAGTTAATAATATCATAGAGAGAGCGAAAAAAAAGTAATTATAAAAATATTATTTTTTTTTGTACATCTAGGTGAAAATTGTTTGTGTGTGTGTGTTAGCAAAATATTTCAATATTACGTGTTTTATGCTGTAATTGTTATATGTTGTACTTCTTTTGTTCTCATCACAGTTTTTGGACGACAGGCTTCACATACGCTGGTGGACATGATATTTGGTGGTCAGTTGCTTAGTACTGTGTTATGTGAGGAGTGCCACATGGTAAATATTACTTGGTGCTATTATACAGTGTAAGCTAAGCATCTAAACTCGGGTGAACGTAGTTTTTCCGGTAATTTTGATTTACATTTAATTTCTAGAGCTCTAACAACCTTGGTTAACTCGTTTTTAAAGCCACAACTAGCCAAATGTAACATTTAATTTAACTTCAAAAATCCATAAAACAACAGAAATTTTTAAGAGATCGATCTTCTGAAAATATTGATCAGTTGTACAGCAATAACCTAGCAATATTTATATTTATATGTAATAAGACAGAAGGAACAAAGATATTTTTTATTGTTTGTTCAACACATGCTAGAAGCTCTTTGTAACCTTTCAGAGCTTTTGAACTGGTGTATTTAAGTGTTTTACACTCACAAGAAAAAGAAACCTATCATTCTATAGGTATTTGAAGAACTTGTAGCATTTCACCACAATTTAATTCTTCGTATTGTTAGCCGACACTGGGCAGATTGTACATAATTGAATAAATAGAGTTGTTTAAACATTTGTTTAACAACAAGTAAAAGCATGGAATGGTCTATTCTTTCATTGAGGGCATGTCTGTGAACCAGATTAGTTTCGGAGAATTTCACTCCTCATCAGGGTCACTGATTGGTCAGAGTTGCATTAATTATTTCACGTATCAAGAAGCAGTTATAATGGAATCTTTTTTGGTACATTAAAATGTAATCAAAAGTGCTGAGCAGGAAGTGAGTAAAGCAATATTTCACTTGAGGATGATTCTTATTTGGAAGGTTAGAAGCAGGAGTTGCAAAGAAGGAAAAAAAGAATGGATGCCAAAAGGCTTTGTTTGAAATATTGATGCTGTGTCATCATATCTTTCATTGCAGACTTTTAGTACATGCAATTTTATCTCCACAGTTCTATGTTCAACAACGTGTCTCCATCAATTTGGCAAGCATTTATCACTACGATTGAGACGTTAAAGTCCAAGGACGAGTATTCAGATGATATTATGGCTACCTGATATTTATTGCATTTAAATTCTCATTGATTTTCATGCATAACTTGAAAGAAATGTATTGTGAAATTTTATTATTATTAGTTTGGATAATTTTCTAATCAATCTAGCAGTTCTGTATAAAGGATCTTTTCCACTCAATGCTGGATACAGTGATTTTTTTTCCTCTTCCTTACTTCTTCGCTAGTAATAAGTGAACCAATATTCTTACATTTCAAGAAGCAGCTGGATAATGGTAATTATGGTCTATATTAAGATCGATACATCATACACTACTGTGAACAGCTTTGTTATATTGCCCACTCGAGTTGCTTTTGCACCGAATCTCTGTGATTGGCTTTAGTCTTCTTTCCCAGACCTTGAAGAAGAAACCTCAGTAAGCTAAACATGTACATGAGTTATGTGAGCACAGATGAAATGATCTACCAAGCCAACTGGGTACCCAGCAGAATCTTGAACAGGACATACTGGAGGACTCATTTCAGCAAAAACCTGTTAGTGTACACTCTTATGCTTTGCTCTATTTTCAGGGCTAGCAATCCAACTAAATATTCTGAAATGATGTTAAAAATATATGGATGCAACTAAGTAACGTGGTTGACATGGAGAGACAATGCATCAGATCTTCTTAACGAACTGGACATAAAAACTATGATCCTTTTTTTTAACTGGTGGTGTAACCAGCATCTTGTAAAGGAATCTCATCTTTCAGGTTTTGTTACAGAAATGTATTTTGTGGTAAAACTGTGAAAGCTATTGGATGTGTATTTATCAGCATGCTTATTTTGTTTATAGGGAATTATACGGGAATTCGGTACTTTTTGTAACTACTATTGCCCTCTCTCAAACAAAACCTAGAAGCTAATTCTGCTATTGAACTATACATGCTCTAACCATAAAAGTCCATCATGCTGTAAAGGCTAATTGTCCGTCATGCTGTAAAGGCTAATTGTCCGTCATGCTGTAAAGGCTAAATGTCCGTCATGCTGTAAAGGCTAAAGGTGGGTGACGTGAGAAAAGATTGAAGCAGGTGATGCAGCTTTGGACTTTCTGTGGTTTTCTGAAGAATGGATTGCTGACATTTGTTTTCTTTTCATTCCTTGATTTGCTCATCTGACATACAGACCTTATGTGACATATGTTCTTTGTATGCTATGCATTGTATTTTAATCTTGATCCATAAGTTAATTTGAAAACAGCATTGTACTAGATGTATATCAAGTGAAAATATGTATTAAACTAATATAGCATTAAAATTTTCTATTTTATTGGGAACTTGAAGTTTTTAGAGGGATTTGCTTTAGCACCTTCAAAAAATTTTGGATGGGAGTCCTGGACCCACAGAGGGAAATAGCTATGAAGTTCTTTTTACATGGAACTGTTAGTAAGATTTAGGTTGGGAGTCCTGGACCCACAGAGGGAAATAGCCATAAAGTTCTGTTTATGTGGAGTCATCAGTAAGATTAAGGTTGGGAGTCCTGGACCCACAATGGGAAATAACCATAATGTTATTTTTTTGTGGAATCGTCAATAAGATTTAGGTTGGGAGTCCTGGGTCGACAATGAGAAATAGCTGTAATGTTCTTTTTTTGTGGAATCATCAGTAAAATTAAGGTTGAGAGTCCTGGACCCACAATGGGAAATAGCTGTAATGTTATTTTTTTGTGGAATCATCAATAAGGTTTAGGTTGAGAGTCCTGGACCCACTATGGGAAATAACCATAATGTTATTTTTTTGTGGAATCATCAGTAAGATTTAGGTAGAAAGTCCTGGATCCACAGTGGGAAATAGATATATTGTTCTTTTTTGTGGAATCATCAATAAGATTTAGGTTGGGAGTGCTGGGTCCACAGTGAGAAATAGCCATAATGTTTAGTTTGTATGGAATCATCAATAAGGTTTAGGTAGAAAGTCCTGGATCCACAGTGAGAAATAGCCGTAATGTTCTTTTTTTTGTGGAATCATCAATAAAGTTTAGGTAGAAAGTCCTGGATCCACAGTGGGAAATAGCCATAATGTTCTTTTTTTGTGGAATCATCAATAAGGTTTAGGTAGAAAGTCGTGGATCCACAGTGGGAAATAGCCGTAATGTTCTGTTTGTTTGTAATCTTCATTGATATTTATATTCCATAATCCATTTTATTTACATAGAAGGGGATTTTTTTTTACCCAAAATATCAGTCCACCATCCGTTAACAAACTGTTTTTACCTTTTCATATCTTTTGTAAGAGTCTCTCTATAGTTTATATTAGTTTTATTACAGTTTGGACAACTATTATAACATGTTAGAATATAACCTGCACATTTGCTTGTTAATCAAAAGTTTACATGAAAAATGTATTCTTTGATTTAAATAATATGTCTACTGCTTTGAATTTTTGTTTCATTGCGAGATTTTAAATAATTTTTAATGTCTATATATATATGTTTAACTTGGTGTTTTGGTAATGTGAAATATTAAGCCTAATATAGTATATAGATATAGTTAAGAAATTACCTGGGTACGGGAGTAGTTTAAGTAGAGAAAACATTTTTAAAGGAAGTTTGACAAATTAGTGTCAAAATAAGAGAAATATGAAGTGTAAAACACATCACTTTTGTTCATAGGGATAAATACTATGAAGTAAATAACTTAACAGCAGGATAGTGTTTAATGGTAAAGTGGTTTTCACTGCTGTATTATAAGTGGTTTTGACTTGTGTTCATAGTTTAATATAATGTTAATATTTTTATTTTAGTCATCTCAAGTATTTGAACAGTTTATGGACCTCTCCCTGCCCGTATCCGAAGAAAAGGTAGATCCTTGTCTAATTCTAATGATAATTTGTTAGCTATTTAGAAACTTCAGATTTAACAAATGGAATGGTTTGTAAAAAAAATTTTCAAGGAAAATTGTATTAGATTTCAGAAGCTTGGTTATCAGAATAATAGGCACATTTTAAAAAAGTTTTCAAATTTCTAGTTCTGTGTGCGTGAAAAACACAAGTTGAATACTTGTAAGTTTCTTGTGAAGGTAGGTACTAACTTTGGAAGTTTTTATAGTACCTCGTTCTTTCTTCATTGAAGGTAAGTGTTTTTGTACTCATCAAACCAGTTTTGCTATATCATGTTATGATCTTCATTGGTAGAAAATCTGAAGAGTAGAAGACATTTCTTTAATAAACTTTGCGATACAACGGTACAAGCCAGATATGACTAAGAATTTTAAAAATTCATAGAAATGGATACAAATATTAAATTGTTTAGCTAGTGACACATCTGGTGTTCCATTTTCACCATCCATTACTACGAAAAATAAGGAATTTCTGTGTATAATGTGGTATCTTGGAATTTTTTTTCTCTCGTACTTTTAGTTGATATTCTCAGTCAGTCCACTCAACTTCTCTTTATCTTATGTTTATGTATGTTAGTATGTGCTTGTATATATGTACATAGAAACACCAAAAGATGTATTAAGATGTTCATAATACAAGAACAACTTGTTCATTCATGAACATTCAGTCTTCAGCGGCTGGCATGGCCAGGTGGTTAGGGTGCTTGATTCGCAATATGTGGGTTCGAATTCACGTCACCAAACAAGCTTGCCCTTTCAGCTGTGGGAGCGTTATAATGTGACAATCAGTCCCACATTTCATTGGTAAATGAGAAGCCCAAGAGGAGATGGCGGTGGGTGGTGATGACTAGCTGCCTTCCCTCTAGTCTTACACTGCTATATTAGGGACGGCTAGCGCAGATAGCCCTCGTGTAGCTTTGCCAAAATTCATAACAAACAAACAAACAATGTTCAGCTTGTTTAAATTCACTCCGAGTTAAAAAGATTCAATTTATGATTTAATTCTTTTTGTCCCTACCAATAAAGGGCATAGTATAGCTTCATGGTTCATAAAAAATGTGGCTTCTGGTGAATGTATTAAGCCATTACTTTAGTGTAAAGCATTTCATTATTGTTATAATTCCATCTGATTTATTGTTTAGTTTTTTGTTAGGTTATAACATTAAAGTTTTTTTACATTACTGAAAGAATTGCAATAAGCTTTACTTTTTAGTGGAAGAAGAAATATTTCGTAATTTACAAACTCAGTTACAAAAGTGAAACTTCATAAAACTTGGATCTTATTGCAGCCTACTCGACCAGGCTTACAGAGGAAAAATGTGGTGCAGGAACCTATAGTAGAATGCTCAGCACAGAACCAACAGCCTGTCAGTAATTTCAGCAAGTATCAAGAGAAGAAGATCAAAAAACAAGCAAAGAAAGAAGCAAGGGTATGAAGGTTTTATCTAGTTCAAAATTAAACACTACTTTTCTGATTTCTATCTTAATTACCTTTATCTGTAATGATCTATAATTGAGTGTCAAGTTAACTTCCATTTTACGGGTACTCCATTATGAGATTACTTGGTTCGACAGATACTAACAATATATTATCGTCAAAGTTTTACATTAATAATCTAATTTTCAGTAAGATCCAGGTTAGCTACCAAAAACTATAGAAAAACATTTTGGAATAAAGTGTAAATTATTGAAATTTTTTAAAGAGCAACAGGTTGTAGTACTCTTCTGACAGTCATTAAAACGAGGTTCTTCTGTTGTACAAAGTTTGGACTTAGTATTCTCAGTAGATAAGAGACAATCGTAGACATTTTATATCTGAAGCAGGCTGTTTTATGAAGAATTGGATTCATAAAAATTATATGTAAATTTGCTAAAAATGAAGTTTTTTTATCCATAACAAAAAATGTAACGAAACCTGACAGTATAGAAGATTGATTGTAGATACAAGTACGTATTGTTGTGCATTTGAGGAAACCGTTGACTAGAACCATCTAATTGTTGCCAAGCTATTTTTAGTTAGAGGAATATCTTGAATTATGAGCTTTTGTGTTGATATTTGACATTATATTAGTAATTGTAGTTTGTTTGCATTGAATTTTCTTCACAAGTTCAAATACTAATGTAACTTTTCCAGTTTAGCACGTGTTTAAGACCTGTGACAAAATCGAACAGTGATCCTTCTTAAGTTTAAGTTATCCAAGATTGTGTTGTTGTTTTTTAACCAGCAATTTTCAATGTAATCTTTCAATTTTCTACTCGCTGTCTGTGTGTTTTTGTTAGAAAAAAGCTAAAGCAGTACGAGCAGCGGCTACCACACTGACGGTCTACCCTCCCTCCAAATCTGAGGGCAGTACTACTAATGTAGCTTCTGTGGATGAGACTGGATCTGAAAATGGAGATTGTGCTGGTAAGTGCTTATGTGATGTTATTTCAGTGAGTCACAGAGACAACTGATTTTGAAAACTTGATGTGTTAACTTGCATCATCAAAGACATGTTTCCGTTAAAATATTAATACTCTTAATTGTAAGACTATTTTGTATTTTGGTTAACATGCCTTAATACGTGCAAGATGAAACAGTAGCAAGAGAACTCGGTAGACGTTAGTTGGTAAAAAGAGAATTTTTATCTGCTCTTCAGTTTTTTAAAATGAAAGGACATGGGTTTATCTTTATATAGTTCAAGGTATGTGGGTTGACTTTTTAAGTTGGAGGTCTTCCATTCGACCATTAGTTTTGTGACTAAACATGCAAGGAATTAGCCTGGTAAGTCAAAATAAGTTTGTAGAAATTCTTAATATTTAGCAGAGTCAATAATAAGAATTCAGGATATGTCTGGAAATATTTTAGGCTTACTGATGCATATTATTCTAAATAAAAAAAGTTCACAAAAAATATTCACAACCTACCAATAAATAGACACCCCTTATAATATATATCAGTATATATCCGTGCGTTTGTATATGTGGGTATAGTTCACAGAACACAAACAGCCACACCAGGAGCAAGAGGTAATTTGGTCATTAAATTGTAGTATAAACTCTAAGGATTATTAATTACAGAAGGACTTAATATTATTTTTCTGTTTTCTAAGGTCTATACATCATAATCTAAAAGATCTAAGTAGTTCCTCCATTTCAAATATTTTGTAAACCTAAATGTTTCTTAGTAGTGTGTAAACTCTAAAAAATCCTCAGAAAATGCTGAGTGGCGAATTAGGCTTTTATTGAATTTGAAATCACTTAATAAAAATATAATTATAATTACAAGTTGGATGTTATGTTAAATTTTACTTATTATACAGCTGCTAAACTTGTTTAAATTGATCATAGCAGGAGAAGTTCAGGAAGTAGTTTAATGTAAGCGAAGCTGGAAAGAATTATTATAATTTTCTCTTGGAATTGCAAGGAAGGTGGTAAAAAAAAAAAACTTATGCTAGTTTCCTACAGGTCAGGGGGGGGAAAGTCATGTTTGTCTCTTGTGTAAAACTTACTACACTAGGTTGTTTTGTATCAGTACAAGGTTTACATAACTTCTGTTTTAAGGTGTTTTTTTTCTGAGATATTCAGTACAACTTCAAATATTGAATTTGGTTAGGAATACCTTAAAATTTTTTTTTTTTTGTCGGATATACAGAGCGTAATATTTATGGTTACAACATTTCACCAGGCTAATCTGCTGAAGTTTTGTAACGGATGTTATGCTCTGTATGTCCGACAAAAACAAGTTTTACGTAACAGGGTACTTATTTTAATTATTCAGTTACGAACACTGCCAGCCATAAGTTGTAAGGGGTTAAACTGATATTTGTTTCTCGCAACTGACTTTTAATTCTATTTTTAACCCCCCCTGTTTTGTTGTGAGTTTGAATCTCTCATAAATCAATTGCACAAGAAGGTGTATTTTGAAATGCTACTAAACATTTGTTCCAAACAGATAATACTGATGCAGATGTTGAAGATAATGATGAGAGTGAGGCCATGTACAGCAAGTCACAACAGTCATCACCATCAGCTAAGAAGATCAGAAACAAAGAGAATAACCAGACTTTCAACCAGGAAGAAAAAAACAGTGAACTACTTTCACCAAACGTTAAAAACATTAAAGTATTGCAGAGTGTGATAAATAACGAAACGGGTGAAAACGAATGTTTGAATTCTTCATTTCGAAACAAAAATCAAAATAAATCTCCCTGTCAAGAAAGTACCGATAAACAAGAAAGCTTAAACAGTTTAGAGTCAGTTACTCAAGAGCACATGGAGGAATTGTGCTCAAGCGTGTCGAACATGAGAATTAGAAGAAAAAGTGAGAGCAAAGACAGTTTGTTTGACCCTCCAGAATTAAAGGAATTCAACGGAGCAGTTGATGACCCAACATCTCCGATAGTTGATAACTCCCAGGATTATCGTCATGGGAGCACAGATTCTGGAATAAGTAATGGAGAAAGAGTGGAGAATGGAGGAGAAAATAATGAAAAGGCCAAAGAAATTCCTTCTAACAAAATAAAACAGGAATGGATTACAAAATCTCTAACCACTCTGGCACCAAGGTATCACCCTGCTTCACATGAATGTTCAGTGATGTCATGTCTGAACCAGTTCACAGCTCCTGAACTCTTGACTGGTAACAACAAGTTTGGCTGTGACAACTGTACCAGGCTAAAGAATGAAGCTTCTGGAGAGAGTATGTATCATTTCATTACGTTGTACAGTTTGTGAATTGTAAAGATAGTTTTGGCTTTCAAACCAAAAAGATTTTGTATGATTCTTGAAAGCTTTCAATTATTGTGTATTCTTAATCTTATATTGTAATTTTAAACAACAAGCAAGATGAGCATGAATTAAAAATTTTTTTTTATGTAGAAAAACGTAAGAGTTGAATATATTTCAGAAAGTTGTGTACTAGTTTTTAATAACCTTATGCTCTTGGCATAGTCAATCTGAGCATCTCTGGACCTTTTACAGAGTTACATTCAAGCTAATTAAGATACTTTATTATCAGTGTCTGTTTACTCTTTCCATATATGGTTAATTGATGTGACTGACCTTGTAACAACAAAGTAACCATCAGTTTCCATACTATAACTTTTAATGCGATATGTATATATTCACAAAATTTAGCAAGCTTTCAGTAAACATTACAAATATTTTGTACACAAAAAAAATCATATTTTTAATTAAGTATTTTTACTAAAGATTTCTCCATGAGTATATAGAGTTAAAATGTTGACTGTTCCGACTACAAATTGATTTTTATGTGGAGATTAAACATAGTTTTCTTCATCCGAAAAATTTAAAATATCATTTGTGTAGCTTCAAAAAACCTCCTAAATAAATATCAAACATTTTTCTCTATTATTTTCTTTACCCCAACTCTATACAAACTTGGTTGATTTGACCAACCTTGTAACCACCATAAAAAATAGAAAAAAAAATTATCTAAGTTTCTCTTTTTTCTTTCTATAAAGACTGCAAATTGTGGTAGAAAACTGCAGTTATTTATGCTAACTAGCTTAAGGCTCTTAGCAGTCTACATCTCTTTCTATTAATTTTATTGTTTTATTGCCATTTGAACCAAGTCCAACTAATAATCCTACCATACAAGTTGTAAATCAATCTGCAAACTCGTAGCTCATGCTACTGTATTGATTGCCATAGCTCACAAGCATACCTCATGAGGAATTCTTCTTATTTTTTCATTATCTCACCTTATCTAACCTAATAAGTTTCTAATTTTTCCATTTGATATTGTTTTTTGTAATGATGGTATCAGTATGCTTAAATCATTTTTATTTACTTAAATAATGCACATAAGAACACAGCTGCTTGGTCTGAATACCATGAGATAAACTTACAAACTGAAGATGAAATTAATGTTATTCGGTAGTTTAAAACTTTGCCTTGGTATTGGTTATAAATGGTATAATATAAAACATCAGAGATATTTATTGGCAATTTGTGAAAGAGATGATATGGCTGGTAGGTGTGGAGTGGGTTTGATTTTCTAGTGTATGACTCCATAAACAAACAAGATAGAATGCTAGAAAAATTAGACTTTGCCTTAGTAATATTTCTGTAATAATGAGTAATTTACATTCAATTCTGTTCTTCAGAGAGGGGTGGTAAATAAATTAGAGAAGAGGGGAAGACCTAGAGAACAAATGTCACAATTCTTATACTAGGGGGAGATTAAGTATTTTTTCAAATATTTCCTAATAAAATTAAGAACTCAAAACCTTTGTAATATTAACATTTTATTTATTAAATATGTTTTGATATCGAATTTATTCATATACATTGATAATAAAGTAGTTTAATTAAGTTTTGAATGTAACTCTGTAAAATGTCATGACATATGCACTTTGTCCTAACCATAGCGTGAGGGTTAATAAACCTGGCGTTAAAATGTAGCTTATTATTTATTTATATTTATATCATCTAAGTTTTAATTTCTTAATTTACAAAGAAAATATTTAAATAAATCCTTAATTCTTCACCTCTGTGTCATATGATGCATCTCCCCCTTTCATTTTTTATTTTTACATTTTCTGTCTTCCCTTATATGTGTTTCAGAGTGCCTAACAAAATAGAAACAAACTCTAGATAATGGCAGGTCAGAATATACAATTAGATCCTCCCGTCTTCTTTGTTGTTAAACTCCTCCCATTTATTTTAGTGTTAAAGGAATACATTACCATGTGTCCTCATTTGATAGACATGTTTATAACCAATACATGGATTTTTCTTTCCTGTAGGGTTTTTTGTTTATTTTTTAAACCTATTTATAGATTAGTTAGAGAGCCAGTAAATTATAGTAGTTTTGGGACACTATTTCAGTGCATGGTATATATTTTTTGTGTTCTAAGAACAAGAATAATGAAAATTAATCTTTCGAAGGGAAAGGGGAAAAAAGATATTGTTCATTATGTTTCATATTTTTTATTTCACCGTACAGTGATGATAAAAATGAAAGCAAAAGTTTTACAGAAAAGCAAATATTCATTTAGAAGACTAGACGTTATGCAAACGAAACGTAAAATCTCTAAGATTAAAAAAGTATTTTTATTCTTAACATGAAAAACTACCTTGCACTCGGTAAAGACTTTGGAAATTCACAGACAAGTCTTTAGTAAAACTATTAAAAATTCTGATTTCTTGTGTACAACGGAACTGTAACGTTTACCAAAAGTGAGCATAAATTTTTTGAATATCAATATAGTTTATTTGTATTTGCAGTAAATGTTACTGTGTGTGGATACGGGGTCAGTCCAATGAACCAGTGCTATTCACATGGGGATAATGTTATCATTTTTGTAAAAATTACACTTTATTTTGATTAACTAAACGTGAAGGTTTATAATCATAATAAGACCATGCATTTGTAACAAAAGATTCTTTTTCAGAGCTAAAGTGGTTGTAAGTACCATTAACAATAGGAATATCTATTTCACAAACCAGTACATTCTAATAATTAAGAGGTTTTGTAATCTGTTAATTTATGGTAATTAATCCTAGTTTACAGCATTATCATTGTAATTTATTTAGTTATCTTTAGTGACTTTAGTTTCAACCAGCTTAGATAGCTTACTGTTGATTTGTTTAGTTATCTTTAGTGACTTTAGTTTCAACCAGCTTAGATAGCTTACTTTTGATTTGTTTAGTTATCTTTAGTGACTTTAGTTTCAACCAGCTTAGATAGCTTACTTTTGATTTGTTTAGTTATCTTTAGTGACTTTAGTTTCAACCAGCTTAGATAGCTTACTTTTGATTTGTTTAGTTATCTTTAGCGACTTTAGTTTCAACCAGCTTAGATAGCTTACTTTTGATTTGTTTAGTTATCAACTAGAAGGGTACTCAGTAGAGCGCATACCACTGCCATGCAGCATTAATTATATTCAGCTCTTAAAATATACGAAAATGTGTCTATATGTCCATCATTATTAACTGACATGGACCACTTTTGACAGGACAATGAGGAATAACATTCTACATATGTCCACCAAATTTCATCAAAATCCAATCATTTTTGACTGTGTTATAGAGCTAAAATGGTGTGAAAAATTAGTCCTATGTTAATGGATTGGGATGTTTTGAATTTCTATGACCTTGACCCTCCAAAAACTAATCACTTCTAAGTTGGGTCATAGTCCAAATGTATACCAACATTCGACCAAATCCATCAGCCGTTTTCAAGAAATGCTTTTAATGTACCACAGGATAGTATTGAAACTTCTTGTGTTCAGTTTTGAAAGATATTACATCCAGTAGTCACTGAACATATTTCCAGAAATGTGCATCTCATTTTATGATGACTGTTCCCACCATGTGGTACACAAAAGAACTTCATCCTATATGGCTGTAAGTGTATGTGTAACTTATGTCGGTCATGTTACATTTCCAATAGGATAGTGATTGATCACATGTGATTCACTGAATTTAGAATTACCCTAAGGGCAGTGAAAACCTGTCCTTTTTAACCCTCAAAGTTAAGCAGCCTTTGGAGAGAGAGAGGGGGGGTCATTAATTATACATCTTTGGATCACATTATTTACTATAAAAAGGACTGAAATATCTCGTTGAGGAAGCCATAACCTCACATATGATGCAGTGCATGCAAAATAAGTATCACATTGCTTCAAACATAAATTCACAATTCACTTTCTCACTGCTTATCCCAGAATTTGTACTTTGGCTGCTCTCTGAAAAATTTCATCTTATTAAAATTACTTAGTTTCTCGTCATCGTTAGTAGCCTGTCCTATAATACAAGTCTAATTACTAATTAGTTACTTTTTTTTTTAATTTCGAGATACTCATTATTAGCTAGTGTTTCGACTGCTAAACTACTGTCATGTTCATGGAAGTCCCGAGAAAGACTTTTTCTGTGGTGTATTCAGCTGCGATTCCATCTGGGGGGTCTCCCTGATAGAGGGTAGTATGTTACCCACTTGCATGGGATGTCTTGTAACAAGAGGATAACACTTCAACCTCTGTCAAGAAGACCCAGGATCGAATACTGTCTACTACTAAAAGTTCTTCTGAGAAATTCCTGAAGATGGTAGTAAGCTAGCAGCCAAAATATGGGATAAAAACTAGTTAGTAATTAGGGACTACTAACCACAACAAAGATTGATCTATAATCATCACAATCTTACTGTAAATTCAGAACTCTGGAAGCATGGAATTGGTAAAACTTCACATAATTGGCAAAATTGTGGAACTGAGTTTGAGTTTGCTTTCGTCAAATAAGATTTAGATGAGACCAAATGGTATTATAAAATCATGGCTACATGTTTTAAGTGTTATATCATACAAATGATGTCTGATTTTTATGTTGACTGGTGAAGATTGTTTATTTGTGCTCTTCACGATCCTCTTTCTTCTTTTATTTTTAATATTTATTAAAAGTGTAACTTGAAATTTTTTTCATTTCTGATCTTAACTCCTTAGTAACTGGATATCTGTTTCTTTATGTAGACACGAAGATGGTCTACAGCAATGCAAGCAAACAACTGTTAATCTTCAGTCCTCCAGCTGTTCTTACCCTTCATTTAAAACGCTTTCAGCAGGTGAGAGGAGGGGTTTGTTTTACAAAGTAAAGTGGTACTAGTTAAATAGAGATATTTACACTGCAAGACCAGTTTACTGAGTATTATCTAACTTACTTAGTTTTCTATATCTTAATACCATCAAACTGTCATAATGTATTTGGAAACCAAACTCCAATGTCCTTAAAGCAATTTGTTAAATTACCTTGCTGCATCATTGCCAAACCGAGTTAGTGCCATTCTGGAGGCTTCTGTTAGCCTAATGCCATATTTAACCATTTTGAACCTGAGTTTTAATTTTCTTGTCCATTCTCTCCTGTATATTTGTGTGGCTGTTTTACATTTCTTAGTTCTTGGTCTGTAACAGTTTGAATATATTTTAGTTATATTATTTTAACCAATATAAACTAAAATTCATGTTAATTGGAATAAAACAGTTCCTCACAATTGCTATATTCTCACTGATTGAGATTTAGCTATTAGTTTTTAAACATGCTTTTAAAACAACATATTTATTGAATTTGTGATGCTTTTGTAAAATATTGTAACATAGCCTGTTAAGCTTCCCTATGTAATGTGCACTTGACATTTATAATACAGTGATTTTTTAAAAATATTTTCCTAAGATTCTTTTTCTCTTTTATTCTCATGACATTTATATCTAGGTCACAAGAGCTAAGTTCAACCTCAAGGAGGAAAATTCATTAACTCTTTTTTTAGAAATAATTTAAAAATTGAAAATAGTTCAAAAGCCTAAGTGTGTGTGATAATGTGATTACAGTCAGTGGAATTCCAAATTTCTACACTCATGATGATCATTTTGTTTGTAGGCTGGCATATCTTTGAGAAAAGTTAATCGTTCTGTAGAGTTTCCGCTTCTCCTTGATCTGGCTCCTTTCTGCAGCTCAGTGTCATTGGTAAGTTCCTATTGTTCGGTTTTAAACACCTAACAGTCGTCACTTATTTCAGTTAGACTGAAAGAATGGAAAAAAATCAAGAAAATCATTCTGTTTTTTTTTGGTTCGTACTTTACGGTATGTAGGCATGCCATGTGTTTTCTAGCTTCATTTTCTAATGTGTAAGTTTCAGAATTTTTCATTTACTCTGAATCTCTGCAGTTTTCAAATAACACGTGGTCTAGAAAACCATTGACTTCATTTTAGCTGCTTTTATTCCTTTGTTTGTCTCTTGAAATAATATCTGTTTCATTGGTAAAGCAGATGATACCAAGAGGTTACAGTCATATGGTTAACACTAGTCAGTATGGGGAAATCTAACATTTCCCATTAACTCTTCCGACACGGGGTTGGTCAATTTGACCGAGTCACGTGACCTTCTGTATTCATTTAAAGTTGACATAAATTTAATACTTATAACTCTCTATATATTGGGTATATCTTCATAAAATTTGGCAGTCTTTCAGTTAATATTACAGGTCTTTCACATACAAAAAGTTTTGTCCATGAATATATTGAGTATTTGTTTTGAATAGTACGTGTGCAAAGTAATTTT